GAGCTCGAGACGACGGCCGGGACCCCAGCGCCCCAGCGCGTGGCTTCCGAGGCTGCCAGCATCTTCCCCCCGGGAGGCCAGAAGATCCCCCCCTTTCGAGGGCCGGGGAGACTGAATGGGGCCCTGGGACACACAAATAGATACACACACAAAGAACAGGATCCCCCATATCTTCGTATATCTTCTTGGCTTTTGTCTTTCCCCCCACTTCCCAAATCTTCCCATATGTTCTGGGGAATCCAGGATGAATTGTGTCTGTGTGCTTCTCTTCCTCCTGAGAGACATCCGGGACAAGTGGCCCCCAGAAGCTCTCCCAACACTTTTTGCGTCGGCGGCCAGGCGAGGCGGAGCGGCTGCGCCGGCGGCAGAGCCAACTCAAGGGGGGGCGCCGTGGTGGCGCGTGCAAGGGAAATGGGGCAGGACAGGGAGGGCGGCCGAAGGAGGGGGGGAAGAGGAGCGAAGGCCGCTCAGGAGGACGGGTCAAGCCTGGGGCGTGTGGCGCGGCCGGCCCCGCCAGCGGGGCCCAGAAGGTCCCAAGATAAGCAGAAGAAGACGAAGAAGAAGACGAAGAAGAAGACGAAGAAGAAGGAGAAGAAGAAGAAAAAGCGCCATACACACAATTGTCTATGGCGCTCCGCGCGGAGGGGAGCGCAAAAGCCGATGTCTGTGGCCTTGGTGTTCCTTCTTCGAGCAAGGCCTCCAGGACCATACACCCCGAGAAGCCCCCAGAAAGGCTCAGAGTCGATCTCGAAGCCCCTCCCAGACACCACCCTGACCTGCTCTGCTGGGGGCGCCCCGCCGTGGCCGCGAGCAGGTGCAGAAACGACGACGTCCACAGTCGAAATATCTACAGTCGGACCTAGGCCAGAAAAACATCCCTCAAGAACACGAGACCCTCCGCTGGCCAAACCAGAGAGCACATCCAAGAGTTCCTCCCCAGGGTGCACAAGAACACCCAGCAAACGCGACGAACTCTAGGGTACCCTCCCCGAACCGACCTCGATCTTATACCTCGGTCCGATTGTAGTGAGGGACGGGCGGTAGGATCGCAAGGGCCTTTGACGACGAAGCTGGCACTCTTTGGGCGGCGGACTGCCAACACCCTGAAGGGCTGGCCGGTGAAAACCGCGAAGGACGGGCCGCAGAGGAAGGGATGTAAGGGCACCCGAAGGACATCCGTGAGTCCTTGATATGAACTTTAAATGAAAGCATCAGCGTTCGAGATACGTGCTGAACTCTTCGATCGGCGCTTGCCTCCCCTCCATGGTGCGCGGAGCGCGCCAAGGGCGGCACCAGAAAAGCCAGCGGAGATCCAACACATCCGCGCGGGCCTCCGAAACTGTTAACATGTTTATACAGGTTGATACTCCCGAGCCCCGGGGAGGCCACTAGCAACCAAACTAACGCCCAGAAACCTCGACCCTCGACCCTGGCACACCGGGCCACGAGCCTCGAGCCTCGAACGTTGATCCTCGGGCCGCGGTCCTCGAGCCTTGATCTGGACAGCCTCATACCCCCTGGGAAACCTTTGCCTCCCTGGCCGACCTACCTCCCCCTACAAAGGTGGGGATGGGTGCCCCCTTCTAGGTTTCTCAGCACGCACCCCCACCAAGGGGGGGCACGCTGGGAGAGCGACCTCGCCCCCTACTCCCTGGAGGGAAGGCCTGGCGGCGCGCACAACGGGGGTATGGGCGAGGGGCCCAAGGGCTTCTCAGGAGGAGGCTGTGTTTCGTAGAAGGCGCGGGCCTTACATCTACAGACGATGCCCAGGCCCTCTGGGAAGAAGCCTCCCTCTAAGGCGCTTCCCCCCCTCCCCCTACAGTCAACCCGTATAGAAAGAATGCGCGGTGAGGATGCAAGGGCCTTGGAAGACCATGCAGAGGCTCTTCGAGCGTGGCAGGCCATCGAAGAAGGTTGACGATGGGCCGACGATGACCGAAGAAGCAAAGAATTGAGCAAAGACCGACCGTCATGGCAATCCTGTAGGCCTACCACGACATGTTCTTAGCGCTGACAATGTTCTGAGAAACACCGAATTCTTAAAACATCTAACCGATGTACGATGTCAACGCAAGCTCAACAAAACATATTCCAAGAACATTCCAGGCAAACCGCACGAGGTCCTCAGAACACCCTTTGGTGGACCTGCAAGCAAGTCAGTTCGCTTCTCCACTGCTCCAAGGATGCAAGGGCACCCCTGGGAAACCGATCCTGCTTACGCACTCTGCGGGTGGACTGTATGAACCCCTCTGCGCGTTACGAGCGCTCGCGCAGTGCATTCGAGCAGGAGATCGACGATGGAGTTGATTCACCCCAGTGTTGACACTTTCGTTAGATCTGCGACGATATCTACAAACCTTGTACTCATTATTCGTAGATTAATGAGACGAACAATTCATATTGGTGCGAATCAATTCTGCAGTTGATCTCCTCCTACTCGATGCATGCTTTGGAAGCCCATGGAAATCCACGCGCGCGTGAGCATTTGCTCCCCGCTCCTGAAAAAGGCCCCTCCCTCCAGGACCCGCCCCATCGCTACGCCGAACCGGGGATACAAGAGCAACACGCGCCAAAACCTGTAGGGAGGAGGCATGGGGAAGGGTAAGGCGATGACGGCGCTATATCGGGGGCGGCCAAGAGGGGGGGGTCCAAGAGAGGGTGCGCAAATCATGGCTGGCGGCACGTGCGCGGTCCAGTGGGGGGTCAAAGATTGAATGAAATAAGATGTGGCGCTACGAAATCTGAAGAACGATCATGGCCACGCAGTGAAATCCCCCCCCTAGTCATCACCCCCCTTCTTGGCCGCCCTGGCTATAGGTATGGGCGCGAACTGTCGAACCCCGAGGGGGGCTACCATTCGAGCGGGGACACCCCATCGCGGGAGGGGGGGCATAACATACACACGCAGGCCAAAGGATTTTCCTCTTGAGCCCCAAATGTCGGAAGCGACGTGTCGTTAAAGTGAGAAGATACATGTGCCCCCCGCCTCGTGCCTCTTCCCTCCTCCTTCCCCTCTCCATCCTGGGAAGGACCCCCCCCTCTCCCCCGTAGATTGGATTCCCGGAACATGAATGAATCCATTGTTCTTTTTTCATACATGGGTCGTTGGACCCGCGCACAACAGAAATGGGATCCACGACACCACCCGAAAAAGGATCCAATTGGATCCCTCGGTGTTCTCATTGGGCGCCCGAGTTATCCGGGGTAACTCGGGCCCGGGGCATCTCGGGTTCGGATTCCCGAAAAACGAACCCGAGTTAGCCCTGACCCGAATTATCCCTGATGATTTGGGCTCTGGACGCCCGAATTATCTGGGGTAACTCGGGCCCGGGGCAACTCGGGTTCGGATTCCCGAAAAACGAACCCGAGTTAGCCCTGACCCGAGTTACCCCTGATGACTCGGGTCTCTGATCTCATACTTTTAATCCAAGGGAGAAAACTGTCGGCCTGGGGATGTCACGACACCCGCACGCCCTGCCGCGTGGGTCCAGCACCACAGGACAGTGGTGCTGGACGCACTGCGGCAGTGCCAGGGTTGCACGTGTAGAGGGGGGCGATACTCAGGAGGGGAAAAACACACAGACACAATTAATCGTCGATTCTCAGATAATATGGGTAACTATGGGAAGTGGGGGAAAGACAAAAACGCAGAAGGTATTGGAAAAGATTGGGAATATGTTTATTTGTGTCTATTTATGCGTGTGTCCCAGGGCCCCTTCAGTTACGTTATGGGGGCGATGATAGGGGGGAGGGGGGGGGGCATAACGCGCGTTATGGCCCAGAGGGCAATCGAGAAACGATGTCCAGCACACACACATACACACGGGTCCTGGAACATATCCCTATCCCTATGCTGGGCATCTCCTCATCACGATGCCAATCTTAGGGATTCCCTCAGTTTTTTCAGGGCGAATCCCTAAGATTGCTATCGCCTTTTGGCGTGTCAGTCTTAGGGATAGGTATAAGTTCGAGGCTGGTGAACACACTCAAGTAGCCCCCTCCGAAGAATTCCAGCCCGAGAAATCTGGGGGTCACGCAGGCTAGGCAACGACTCCTGACAGGTCATCGTAAGAACGATCAAAATTTATAAACCCCGCTCAGGGAGCCACTGCGCCGCATCAGGCTGGATCCGGCCCGGGATTAAACAGGATTCGACAAGAGTCAAGCGATTCAGCCGTATCAGGCGGGACTGCACCGGATTAGGCTTGTGGTCGACCACGGATCTACCAGCGCCGATACCGAATCGAACCTTCCAGGAGCTGCATCCGAATCTGCAGGCATCGTGCCACCATCAGGAACGCATGGCATTAAGTCGGGCGTGTCCCCGTCAAGGGGGATGTTCGACGCATTTTTTTTAATATATATATATATAATAAAAAAACTTATTCCAACATGGTCGAACAATGCAAAAACATGTTCCCAGACTATTTTACTATTTTTGAATATTCCCCCTGTCAAGGGACAGGCCCGACTTACGCATGGCAAGGAACGATGGGGGCTCTTCGGGCCACGGTGGGCCCAGGACACCCACCGGCTCGGACACGCGACTCCCAGGGAGGGCCCGAGAGCCCGAGGCCACAGAGGCCCTCACCCTCAGCGTCGTGACGGCAGGCCCGCGTGCTGGCTGCCGCAGAAGGAGGCAACGACGCCACAGACACACGAACTTTTGGCGCTCCGCTCGGGGCGTCCCAAAGCCTAGACGTTCCGTTCGAAGGCCATTAGACATGTGCATTTGTTTTTTGGTTGTTATCCCTCTCTCCCTATATTTATATATATATGTACATATATATATATATATATATGTTTATTTCTCTCTCTCTGTCTCTCTCTTTTCTGTCTCTCTCTTTCTCTCTCTCTCTCTTGTTTTCTCTCTCTCTCTCTCTCTGCTCATAGCGCTTTTGCTTCCTCGAGCCCGCGCGTCTGGGCCGCGGGCCCGCGTGCTGGCTGCCGGCGCACGGCGGCACCCTCTCGCGGGCGGGGGCCGCGGGGGCGGGGCGGGCCTGCGCCATGCGCGCCACCTGCGGCCACACGGGCGGCGCCTCGCGCCGGCGGTGGGGCGGGCGGGCGCGGGGGCACCGCGTCACGGTGGGGGGGGGGCGACCCAAAAACCTTCGTCCTCCTCCTCCTCCTCCTCCTTCTCCTCCTCCTCCTCCTCCTCCTTCTCCTCCATTCTCCTCCTCCTCCATTCTCCTCCTCCTTCTCCTGGGGGGGAGGCGCCCCAAAAAGGGGGTCCAGCTGCAAGGGGGTGGTGCAATAGGTTTGGGGCAATGGTGTTGCAGATGTATTGTGCTGGAGACTTGTATTGCAGTGTATTGCCAGCAATGTATTGCACGCGAAAATTCAGCGATAGATTTTTGCGCCCCGGAATGTATTGCACGCCCGAAATGTAGTGCAACCCCATAAATCTATTGCACCAAATCTATTGCACCACCCCCTTGTCGCTGGATCCCCTTTTGGGTCAACCCGAGTCATGGTGGGGGGGGCGACCATGAGTATCGTTCAACTGATCCCCGTCCCCAGCGGCGTGGCCTGGGCCCCACTGGCCGATGTACCCCCCCTAGATGGGGATATAGGTCGTTCCCCTGGGTTTCGAGGGGTGCATCCCCAACGATTGTGGTAATTTTGCAGGGGTCTCGAAGGGGATGGAGATGGGGATGGGGATCGGTTAAACGATACCGAGACAAACGTAGAGTGCAAAAAATCCACCCCGATACTGACCACCCCGACACGCGAAGCCGTTTAGTCAACGCGCCCACGGAAGGAATCGAACAGGGCGGGGCTGGTTAGTAAACGGCCAGGGCCGTGGAATAAACGGCAGTTGCCGGTTCCGGGTACCCTTCCTCCCTTGCGAACGGGGGGGGGAGAGAAGCGCGCCCCGTGCGCGCCCCTTGTGCAGCCACTTGTGGGCCCCGACAGGGCCACCCAAGGGGCACGACGGGTGCACTTTTCCCCCTCCCCTCCCCCCCGCATCTCGCCCCCCCCCCCCCACACCCACCACGAGAGCGCCTGCGGCGTGCGCCGACCTGGCTCGCTTGCTGCTCCAGAGGAAGGAAAAACGACATGAGCATAAACTCTTGGAGGTCCGCGCGGACTTCCTGGATCTGCGCTTGACACCCTTCCCTGGCGCGCCTCCCGCGCGCCAGGGGCGGCGCGGGAGGCGCAGACGGCGCGGCCCAGCGCGGATACAAGAAATCCGCCCGGAGCGTCCACAGTGTAGATGTTTGTGGCGTGTTTTCTTCTTCGATGCCCGGCATCGTGCCCATCTCGTCCGTGCCCGTGCCAGGCGTGCCGATGCACGGCTGCGGCGGCCCGAGGCCCACCGTGCGGCGCACAGACCGGGCAGCCCAGGGTGCGGCGGAGCGTTGGGCGTCGGCCCCAGCGCCTGCCGAGGCGGCGCGGCTGGCCGCGCCTGCTGCCGCCGCCACGGCCACAAGTCGGCCTGCCCCGCGGGTGTGCGGCGGCGCTGGGCCAGGCTCAAGGCCTGCAGTCAAAGTCTGCTACAGTCGGGTCTCTGAGTGGAGAGGACACGCGAAAGGACACAAGACCCTTCCGATGGCCACACTGCCATAGGCATGCGGAGCATGGGTCGCAAAACACAGGACGTACGGGTAGCCTTGATTTGGCAGGGACGACCTACTACCCAGCCTCGACTGTACCATGAGGATCGGCTAACAGGGAAGGAGAAGCCCCCATTTGGCTGCAGGATAGAGGCCCCCCAGACGGGGTCGGAGCGGATGTGGTCGGAGGATCGCGCCGCACCGTCGATGATGCGTCGCCGACGCATCGGCGACGGAATGGAGACGCTGGCAATGCATCGGCGACGTCGGCGTGTCGAAGTTGGTCTTCCACATCGACCCGCATCGACGATGCATCGGCGATGCGGCGCGATGCTCCGACCCAATCTACAGTCGGCCCGCAGCATAAGCATGCGCGATAAGTATGCAAGGGCCTTGGAAGGCCATATTAAAGCTTTTCGAGCGGGGCGCGGTCAACGGAAGTGGCCAAGGATGGGCCGAGGAAGCAAGGATGAAAGGGAAGATTGTCCATCCTTACCATGCTCATTGACTGCACTCAGACTCCATCCGAACCAAAATACCTCCTTGTTTCAGTGTCTTGACTGCACTCGGCTGGGTAGTTCAGGCCGAGCCAAGCCAAGTCAGGCCCGTGATCCCATGGAGCCCTTCCAGGCCGCGCCCACAGCTCCTGAGAGGCGCGTGCGGGCACGACGTGAGGTCCGCGGCAGGCAGCCACACTCCATCACCGTCCCTGGCCAGGGCCATACTTTGAGCAGGGACTGACCGTCTGGGAAATTATCCCTATAGGCCTACCACGACATGCTCTCAGAACCCCAGGCTGTTCCGAGAACAAGAACCAGGCTCTCAGAACAGAAGCCCCACGTGCCAAGAGAAGACAGGCTCGGCCAGAAGCGTTCTGAGAGCACGTCGCGCAGAGCACCAAAAGGTTCTCAAAGCATCTTCCAGCGGGCCTGAGTCGGGCGTTGGCAGAACTGGGTTTGGTGGAGCCCGGTTTGGTGATCTGCACCGGAGGCGCCCCCCCCCGTCCCATTTCTACTCACCGGAACTGCCGTCGACCGAGAAAACACCAGCTATGGCAAGCCTGGTTTAGCGATTCTGGCCAATTCAAAGGCTCCGGGGCCCTACCACTAACCTGATGTCGGGCGTGTCCCCCTACAGGGGGATTTTCGACGAAAAATTAGAAATACCCCAAAAATAATCAAATCATAGTCTGGGAACTATTTTTGTTGACTATTTTTGGACCTCTTAGGGGCATTCTGGGAGTATTTTTCACATTTCGTCGAACATCCTCCTGTATGGGGGACATGCCCGACTTAACACTAACCGGGTCCCCTTGCCTGGGGTCCTGGCCATACCCGACTGTATGGGCGAGCACGGACGCTCCGCCGCTGCTCGGCGGCTGTACCCCGGCGCTGGTGCATGCACACCAGCGCGCGGTGGAGGCCGGCAGGAGGAGGAGAAGGAGCAGGAGGAGGAGAAGAAGGAGGAGGAGGGAAGGAGGAGGAGGAGGAGGAGAAGGAGGAGGAGGAGGAGGGAAGGAGGAGGAGGAGGAGGAGGAGGAGGAAAAGGAGGAGGAAGAGGGAAGGAGGAGGAGGAGGAGGAGGAGGAGGAGGAGGGAAGGAGGAGGAGGAGGAGGAGGCAGAGGAGGAGGAAGAGGAGGAGAACTACAGGATTACAGTCATAGCGACGCCAGCCAGTTTTCGAGTAGGAACCACAATTCAAAAAAAGGGCCCTTCGTTTGCATTCTATGCCCGCGGGCCGTGAAACTGGCAAACGGGTCGTCCTCACTGGCTCCTGAGGCGGTCCCCTCAGACGACGAAGCCCCAAGCCAGAAGGGCGGCCCCGAACCATCACACACCGACGAAGCCGCCGCAAGCGCCACTCTGACCGCCTCAGGAGGACACATCGGGGACGCTTCAGCAAACCTACCCCCAGGGGAGAAGGCGAGGGGAGCAAAGGCCTTCTGCGCCTCGGATGGCTCGCACCTCCTGCCAGTGCCCTGGGTGTACAGCCTGACAGACGCCTGGGTCCTAGCTTGGATTCCACACCTCCTGCAAACGCGACTGCTAGGACCCAGGGGCCAAACTTCATGCTCCAAAAAACTCAACAGCTTAGCATTGTTTGGGGGCGCCGGCTTCATTCCTTGATGCGCAGTAGCCACACTCAACTGACTGTTCACCGCCTCTCGGGCGCTTGCAAGCTGGGCCGTCGCCCGCGCAAAGAACTTACATTCCTTCTTCGCCCGCCTAAGCTCCTGAGCGAAAGACTCCACGTGCACGTCAGAAACCGCGTGCGGCCGAGCCCCGACTTTAGTGAAGAAGTCGGCCCACGAATTGCCGATCTGCCACTCTGGGGGCTTGTCGGGGGTGCGTCAAACAAAACTCCTCTAAGTCAAGGTGAGCAGGAACCAATTCGAACGCGGGGGGACCTCGGGACCCAGCGCGCGAAAATTTTCCGCCAGATCGACGCGTGGGCCCCTTGGGTCATGGACAAACTGGATGACAAGCTTTGGCCCTCCCGCGCGGCTCCCAATACATCAGCAGAAACGAGCACTCGCAGAAACGGAAAGCTACGCATTCCCTGCAACAGAGCCCAGCGCTCAGCCGCTCCAACAGTCTGCCTGCGGCCAGGCACTTGACCGTACACGGCCCTGATCGGTCGACCATCTCCCCCCACCTGGATCACCGCCCATCCGCACCTCAAGAATTCCAGCCACGAGCTGTGAAGCCCTGGCCCGTCCGTGCAGGCCCAGCTGGGCCACGTCTGAGGGTCGGAATCCCAATCGCCCCAGACGAAAACAGGCAGGGTTCCAGAGGCGGGCGACAGAGGCTTGGGTCTACGGGGCAGCCCAATGGAAAACTCCAGGAGGTCCCAACATTCATGGCCAAAACTATTCACGGCGCGCTCAGACAGCGCGTTTCTGGTCCCCTCAAACTCCTCATCGAACTCAGGGAGACCTACTGCCGTCGGCTGCTCCAGCAAGTTCGGACAGGCATAGAAGCCGTGGGCCACTGTCCCTGCCAGGCCCAGCTCCAAGAACTGCGGGTGGGGGGCACATCGGGGAAGCCAGAGGGCGACGCTCAAACCTCTTGGATGCCGACATAAATCCACCAGACCAGAGTAGTCGTAGTGCACCCGTCATCTGTGGTCGTCGCACTGCGCACTTTCGTCCACCAACGATCAAGGGCAAAGCACGCACCCATACTTCCTCGCAGCCTTCCAAATGCTCGGGTAGGTGTGACAAGATCTGCCTGGATGGCCAGCGAGAGGCGCCGTCCCGCAGTAGTGCGCGAAACTCAGCAAGACACGTATGCATCAAAGAAATCACATTGCCTTCGTCACACACCACTATAGTATCGCTCCCCAATTTCCAGCCAATACGCCGTAGAGATAACCAAGTGGCCGCCAACGGCCCTCTCACTCCAAGCCAACTACAAGATCCAGCTTCCCATTTGGCCTGCAAAGCTCTCCAAGCAGACTCGAGCCGTCCAAACTCCACCCGC